TGCCTTGAAATGGGGTTCAAAACCTCTATGAAATTAAAGGTGTCACTTTGGTTTTATATTGCATTCATATTCTCCAACCTGCCTTCAAACATCCTATAGATCCCCTACCCTAAAAATAGAGATCTTGCGTTCTAATTCAGGTAGTTGCTTCTATTTGCCTAATTCTTTCTCGGAGTTTTACCTGGACAAGGTATTCCTCACACTACGTGCAAGAACGTGACAATCATCAGCTCTCATACCAGGCATACAGTTCATTTCAGAGACTGAAGAACAGCAACAAAACTTCCAGCAGACAATGACAGATGGAAACAATTATTTTCTCATTTTTGAATGGTATTTGGGGAGACTTCCAAAAGTCCTATGCAAGTTTCCCCTAGGAGGTATGAACGTACATAATACATTTCATACAAAGTTACAGTTTTGTTCCCCAATGCAATCTTGTCCAGTTACTGATGAAAAAAGATTCGGCAGAAGCAAATTGCAAGTTATCAATACCACAAGAACTACACTACTCACATATTAGGCATGATTTTGAGAAGAGCTGAATAAATGCATAAAATCAATCACATGCTGCTCAAAAGAAAAACTCTTATTTTATGAAAGAGTTAGTCATAGCGCTTAAAAAGCTCTAAATAGGTCAAAAATTAAATCATCTAAGTCACTTAAATTTCACTCCCGCAGAATGCTTTGTCTTTCAAAACATCAAACCCAGGATTTTTCTGTTGTGCTTACAGCTGTTTGTATCTTGGTTAAGTTTTATAATCAGTATTATTTTAAAAGATGATCCTAGGAGTCTGGATTTCTTGCAGACCTGTTGTTGAAATAATTATCTTTTATAAACCAAATCAGTATGTTCAAAGTCAATGTGCTTTAGCAATAAAGATGCAATATGAAATCTTGTGAACTACAGATTACAGGATCTACCTTGTAAGAAGAACAAAGAAAAAAAAGCAGTCTTATAGAACAAGCTTCTATTACAGAGAAGACAGAAGCGTGGATTTATAGATCAGAAGACTATGGCTGTGCAATATGACTATGGCACAAAATTCTAATTTAATGAATAAATAAAAGCCCCCACTCAAAAGACGTATGAAAGTCAGCAGAAAGGAAGGAAAGGAGAAGAGAGAAGTGTTCCTAAACAGTATCTCAAAAAATACTTAGGTTTTTTAATAGTCTTTTAACCTATACGATAGGCTTTTGGAATCTTTTATCTGTTCTGCTCATTTCCCAAGACATTTACTGTGAAAACAATGTGGAATTATATTTCTCCTTCCTTCATAGCTTGATGAAGCAAACAGTCCCATCTATTTTTCCAGCTCTGAAAGCAACGATATGATTGCAATTACTGAAAACTGCATTTTAAAACAATAGACTTTGAGATAAAATTGGTCTTGCTAGGTTATCAATACCCCAATTTAGACCATACTAGTATTTAACATACACAAGCATTCAAGTCATTAGGGTATACACAAGTATTTCAGGAGACGTACACTCTGGAGAAACAACAGAACATAACCCTTTCATTTAGGCATTAACAAAAATTGTTGCATGTAACGAAGAGACATGAATATTTCTGTTTAATTATTGCACTTTTTTTTTAATTACTATTATTTTTAAATGTGCAGGGGAATTGTGAAAAAATACAACCAAAAAGAACTGAAGCAAGTAATAAAAGTGTGAAAAAGACAGATGAAAGAGAAGAAACACACTGACTTTTAAACTACGTGCAGTAAGTAATGCACAGACAATCACTTACTATAACTACTTCAGGTTCTACTGTATTAATTAATCTTACCTTCAAATGACTCCCTATACAGGACAATATTCGGATGTTTCATGTTAGCCAATACAGCAACTTCTCTCCTTGATTCTTCTCTCTCCTTATTTGACATCTTCAGAAGGAAAATAATGATTTTTGAGAACAGGAGTACAAAAGAATACAAAAGAATACAAAAAGAATGGATCAGTAATTAATAATAATTACTCACCTTAGAGATGTTTATTTCTTTAATAACATACTGTTGGCCATTTTCTTTAGCTTTAACAAGAATTGCTTTCCCAAAGGATCCTTCTCCAATCTTTCGCACTTTAATATATTTATCCATAGTTATCTTCTTAAGGCATCCTTACTCAAGTACTAGGCAAAAAACCCACAAAACAGATTTAGTTAGCCATACTTAGTCATCCAGCCTGTCAGGTCATGTTACTTTTTTTTTTTTTTTTTTTTACTCAAAATGTCAATCCCTTTGTCTCCTCAGTCGCATCACATACTTTGTAGCTTTTCTGTAAATCATCTACTTAGTCTCAATTCTATTTCGGTACAGTTGGCTCACATGGTGTAGAAAGAGGGCTGCATTGCTAAAACCGGTTTAATCTTTCACCTTGACAGACAGTATAAAAAAGGATGTGTTTTATCTTTAAATAAAGCAAGTAACCAGTGCCGTAACTTCTGATTCAGCTAGCATGCAAACATCATATAGATCTATAGCACCTAGTTAACAATCTTTCATTCAACTTTACTTGGAAGCACTACAATAGTAGGGGGGGAAGAGTTCCTACATGTTGTTTTTTAAGAAGCACTAAATCCAGTATTTTGGAAGTTAGTCACTACAATGAAGCCAAAAATAGACTGAACTCAAGAGATCGCCATCAAGTTTAGAATCATTATTCAATACAGAAAGGTGTGACCTTAATTCTGACCGAAAACTTAGCTAATTTATTTTTCCATGTGGCACAGAAAATAAATTCATTACAAAATGGTGCAAATCAGTATTTTTAATGTACTACCTGGCCACTTAAGACTACCTTTTGAGATTAAGCAGATTACTCAGCTGAACGTTGATGGTGTTTAAGGTTCTATATTAAAAAACACTTTGGCAAAAATAAGACATTAGTGAGCTGCATGTGAAAGGTATGGCAATGTAGAGAAAGTGTCAGAACAGCAAAGAGAATTGGCAAAACAAAGACCAAAGTGATAAACAGCAAACCAAATTCACAGTGGATGAAAAGGTCATCTTTTCTACAGTAGAAAGAACTTCCATACACTGTAGGAAGTTTCTGTAGGCTGAAAAAAAACCAAACGGTTCCTAAGCTTTTCTGCATCCAAGCCTCCCTTGAGAGCACTAACAGCATTTGTGCTTTGCTGTACCCAGCTTCCTTCCAACGAGAGACCCTATCAACTTAGATCCATACTTCACACACATCTCAGGTGAGGCTCTTCCTGATTTGGGATCATTTTTTTGTCACAGAATTACCATGCACCAGACACAGATGCTGCTAAAGAGTCTCAGGAAGATGAAGAACCCGCATCATGGAGGCAGACTAAAATGAATAAGCTTGGTTAGTATAGCAAGACAAAACACAAGAGAACTGAAGTAATCTTTTCTGCAAAATAGGAGGTGGGGAAACAACCAGGACGAAGGATAACTACCAGGAAAGAGAAGAAGCGAGAATGACAGGCCTGCAACGTCTTGGTGGGGTTTTTTTTTGCCTTGAAGTACAGAAAGATAGTTTAGTGTGAAGACGCACTTCTAAAAAAAGCAAGACTCAGTATTAACATCAATATTCTCTTTTGGGTAATGGTAAAACGTAGCAGGTGGGACGCAATTTTAACGTCACATGGCTTTACTAAGTTCTCTTGCTACGCCTGCTTTATGAAACAAGCTATGCTGTACTACAGCTAAACCAGCTGCATTAGGCATAGCTCAGGGCTCCTACTGCATGCTGTTCTATATAATGCATGCAAATATAAGCAATCAATAAGCAGCCTGTGGGCGAGAAGGTACAGATCAAAGACGGGACATAATTTTGTACGAGTTAGACGGCTAACTTTTACCAGTGGCATGGGAAATACGAGTCTTGAGAAAGGACCTCAGCGCTAACAGGGCGTTGGCTTTCCAAGCCCTAGGCAAGAAGTCATTTCATCCATCGCGGACACGCACCAGAGCGGCTTTTGCGGCGGGGCGCGAGTGACACCCCCAGCAAGAACGACCCGCCC